CGTTTAATGTTTTACAAGATGATATATTTTTGACAGCATTTCAAGTGCAACACACACAAAGAACGATTTACCACACATAACGTCTGACATACTGTAGGGCTTATAGCTTGTACTTTGTGAAGTACGCAAGCATATTGTCATGTCTGAGAATACAGGTATATAATGGGTACACGTAACATCATTGTTATCAGCGCTATATGTCTGATTAAAACATGCAAAAACCACATTGTCTAGACCACAGTAAATGTTATTTTGATAAGCGTAGCAGAAATCATGCAATGAACTAATTGGACGCCAGAGGTCGGTAACGGCAGACATAAAAAAGCCGACTCAACCTGCACAACCGCAGAGTTAGCCATCCGGTTAGCTTAATAGGAAGAGCGTTGGACTGTTAATCGGGCGACCTGGGTTCCATTCCCGGACGGCGCAGGTCACATTCTTTGCGATTGATTAAAAAAAAATTCTTCATGAAATCGTTTCTACGGTCATTCGCACTGTACATCTGTTCTGGTATGAACCGAAGTTTCAGTTCCTTGCGAAAGTGAAGGCAACTAGTACTGGTAAACTGTTTGACAGCCTGCCCATGAACGATGCGGTGGCTGAACTGTGTTCTGATGAATTCAATGTGGCTTACTGCCGTGATCCGGGGTGAAAACTACCAACACCACCACCACAACCACAGAGCTTTGTCAGACACTATGCTGTCGACTGCTTAATTCTTGACCTTTAAACTAACAAGGGACACTTCTGAATTCAGAGCAGGTTTAGGGCTGTGACTAAAGGCAATCATTAGAATAATACTCACATGTTCTTTGTGAAAGTCGCTTTTGCTGTGCAAAATACATGACTTTTCGGTGCGCATGAACCGCCTTATATTATTCAAATATTGCGAGACAATTAAATTCAAAAGAAAACACACCTTTTAAAATAAATTAGAAATGTATATCAAAAGTTCCTAAGACCGTAATAAAATTGCTTTCAACACAGTGCAGAGAGTGCAATTTTGATTTTGAAAATCGAACGAACTCAGAACAGATTGCATTATAGCCGACATTATTTTTAATTGAATATCGATCTTATAACTGAACTTTGATATCATTTTCAGAGCTGATCCTGAATTGAACACAATCACAAATATTCGCTCACTTCCGACACCCTAGAGTTAACATTGAATTTAACGCGTACGCTATACTTATATTTATTTTCTAACAAATCACACGATCTTTCTCCGCTTTTTGAAATTTTAAGAGCTCATTTTGTTTTTTGAATGCCTAAGTGCTACTTAAGAACTTCTAGTGGCTTACTTTAATTACAACGCTTACATGATATTTACCTGTTTGTAATTTTAAGACCGGACTTAAATTCAACAATTTCACAAATACATGCATTCGCCTGTCTGTCTATTCGCTCACGAATTTTACCGTTTTGAATTTCCAAGAAATTTACCTTAAACGCTTAAGCAATATTTGACTGAGCTTGTTTTGTACGCATGCGTCGAAATTCTAAGACCTTACATTGAATTAAACGCTTACACGATGTCTTAAGGTTCTAACTTTCTTTTCATTTGTAAGTTACTAAAATATTAATGCCTACGCGTTATTTGCCAATTACAAAGAGCTAATTTTTAATAATATTGCCGTATTGAATTTCTTACTTTGTTCTGAATGCTTCAGCATTATACTTGCTTTTTTCTGCTCCCCGGAGAGCTTTGTCTGCATAATTTGCGTTAATTACTAGATAATATGTATCATATTGTGAATGAACCCTTACACCGTGCTTTATGTGATAAAACCGTTGTTTAATATCCACAATGATGAACCAACAAAATCATCTTCAAAAGTATATATTTGCTTAGGTAAACTACATATACAAAATCGAGCTAAATTATGTAATATTTTAGCGATATCAGCGATAAATTTCATTATCTTTTTTATGTTCAGAACTTGAAAATGATAGAAATATATTATAAATAACTATTACAGAAATAGATATAGTATATTTAAATTTGTCTGTTCACATCTGAAATGATAGATAAACTTAAGAATCTTAGTATTTTTGTATTAAAATAATGCAATATTTTAGAACCTTATTTGTTTTATCAAGATAATTCATGATAATGTACATGTATATTCATTTTTTGTGTAAGATATAAGATGTCTCCTTTTTAATAAAATCACTAAACTTTTGAAGTAATGAAAATGGTTGTTTGTATGTAGCGAAAGGTTATTGAGCATAAATTAAATCAGAGCTTGAAAGTAAATAATACATGATTGCACATGTTTAATTTTTTACTACTGACTCTTTTTTGTATTTTCTGATCGTAAGATCAGTAAATACATAGCTAACATCCACGGTCTAACACAAAATTTCCTAACATACCTAACAACGCAAAGTAGTTCTCACTCAAAACTGCTTAAAAACCAGCAATTTAAAAGAAAGAATAATTTTAAATGTAGGCATTTAACGAATGACAGTGCATTAAAAGTTTAGATTAGTCAATAGAAATATGAGGTTACAATCACAAATTTCGCGGATGAATATCTTTTTAACCCAATGAAAAATGTTCGGCTATTCCCGTAAAGCTTCGGATTATCATGAATATCATTTTAATCAATGAAAATGCTATTTTTAGCTATGCCGATTACCGAATACTCCAGAGCGTAGTACACAAATAAATCTGACTGTCGAGTAGTGGAATATATACATGTCAGACTGTTTTGGCGAGAAGATTTTCGATAAATTATTTTCATCAGTGTTAAACAACACGTTTATCGTGAACAAAATACCTCGAAATTAATAAGGATTACAAACACGAAATGGAAATTCTCAATTTAGAATTACATAATGTATTCGTTTTTATTCAAGGTTAATATGTATAGTGCAGAGGTAAGCGGTCTCGTTGAGGGTGTGAGAGGCCTATGGTTCAAATCCTAGTCGAGGCAATTCTATTTTTTTTTCATGCAAAATTCCATATGTTATAGAAGAAAATCAAAACGCTGTCGCTGCGTAAGATGAAATATAGTATATAAAAATAAACTTATACAGGAAAGTACATACAGATAGTCAGTATGATTTAGATTGCAAAGATCAGAAAATACCATAGAGCTGCAGCCCTTTGATTTAATAATGTATGTTAAATTTAAATATACAGCTGTTATGTTAATATAGTGTATCAAGCCAAGTAACTCTAGTTATCGCAGTTTTTAACATTAATAGTTCTTGAAGAGTAGTCGCCCTTACCACCTCATTTCCTGACACTGTGTCAGTAGTACAACATTTGGTCAATGTTTTTGTGTCGTGTTTGTGTCGTGAAGAGAATCTGCTTTCTGCAGTTTTAATTTAATTGAAAAAAAAACATCAAAAAAGCACAAAAAAATCACAACAACAACAGAGTCCCTCTAAAAAAAACGCCAACACTAAATGTTCATTTAGTCACTTCATGTAATAAAGATTATTTGGCAATTTTCACGTAGATGCACTTCATCTAATAAAGATTATTAGGCAATTTTCACGTAGATGTCTATCATGAATTACTTCAGGTACAAGCTGACACTGTGTTGTGAGTATACCACCGAATTTCTGTTCACTCAGTGGATAGCTTCTTTTTACAAAGAAGTAAAATGTCCATGGCGGAAATTTGTTAATTGCGAGGAAGGCATTATCTTAACCGTTACCATTAATTTCTACATACCTTAAATTTATTTGTCCAGTTTTCAATCTCTATAAAATTAGTCATCATTTGTATTTGAGGGAAGATTTCAGTCATTTAAGACAAAAATTATGCAGACCATGATCAGACTGAACATATCTGCGGCTAATCTTGATAATAAACAATTGCCGCCACAAGTCTTAAGGTAAAGGCAGCACACCACACTAATTGAAGTCACAGCTTCGAATGGCCAGGGAGGATTTCATGGATATAGTGACTATTGTGAATTTAAATGACTGGTTGTCTTTAAAGTGTATTTTTAGCATGAAATTTGGTTTTGTGACATGTAATATGATCATTGGCAAATTCGAAAACATGGTTAGAAATCACATGCTGTTAATTATAGATGTCAAGGCCGCCATTGTTTGTAAACATTGCTTTTATACAGCATGCTCGGTGAAAACAAGTAATTTTACAGGGGAGTACAAACATTCAGCAATAGCAAAAAATCTACAAGGCCAAGCACCTATTTCTTTGTGATATTTTGCATGTATAGGGAGTTGCTAAGGCAGTGACAGAGTTTCTGTCGCCCGTATATTTGCAGGTATTTTTTGCCAGAGGGACGAAATATGTTGTTTTGGGTCTTGGACCACTGTAGATTTTTGGCTTTTACGGAATGAATTGAATTTTTTTCACTGCCTGACTGTTGAACATGGGATGATTTCATTATAGATTTGCAATGCTATTACATATATGTTCTTAACAAAATGTGTTTTCTTTTTCCAGTTTGTGTAGTTTGGGATCAGATTTATCAGACATATTGCTTGTAGGACATTGACAGCAGAAACTTGAAATTTAGTGTGGAGTGCTACCAAAAGTTATCAGACTACTATCATCATAGGTGGAATTAGAAAGATGTATAGCGAATTTGAGAATTTACAGAATGGTGCAACTTTAAAATGAAAATAAATAAATAAATAAATAAATAAATAAATAAATAAAATAAATAAATAAATAAATAAATAAATAAATAAATAAATAAATAAATGAAAGAAAAAAATCAAAAACGAAAAACACAATAATTTAATATGTATTTTTCGAAGAGACATAGCTTTCAGAAAAGCAAAAACCAATGTCAAAGTGTAAAAGTGTATTTTGAGTTTTTCCCAAACATCGGTTAATATGGCTAACGTAAAACCTATTTATATTTAAAGTAAGAAAGGCTCCTTAAAGGTTAACAATACTCGTGTACAATGGGGGCAATTTTTTGAATAGTTAAAAAATCATATTTCAAAGTAACTCACTAACAATGTAATATAAAACGTTCAATAAGAGAAAAAGAACTACAAAGTATAATACAATCTTTATTCTAGTCACACGTATAGTCCTGATTAATATAATCATCATGCACCTTTAGTTTAATTTTTAACCCTTAACACGCTTAATATCTAAAATGGACCTGTCTATCTTTCATTCCGGATAATACCATCTATATTTTTAGGGGTAATTCTCAAAAAAAGTACTACCCGAATGACGACCAGTGCAGACCATGATCAAACGGCACAGACATGCCCCGCTGATCTTGGTATGACCTGTAGGTCGCATAGGTAGAATCTGTTACCGACATCAGTTTAAAGTTTTAACTGCCATCTACATATGAATTCTATTAAATTCCGTTCATTTGTATCAAATAAGCTCCTGTGGCAAGGATGAACAGAACATCCTAATCTACTGTACCCTTTGTAATTTACGGAAATTGACGAAGATTGTCGGAAAGTTACGAGCTATTTCTATAACATATTCGTATTATGTCGAAGATTCGAATCTGTGCAACTTAATGGTATGGTGAATTATTTTTTTTAAAACAATGCACAGTTTTCTTGTGGCAGAAATGTTCACTGTGTCGTATCACCACATAATAATTAAATAAATGTTTTGTCTCCTATTCGCCCTTCCGCCGCAGTTTGGCTGAAAGAAAGGCCGCGGAAAACGTTTACCTTTTCATGTTTTTGAATACCCTTTCCAAACTTTCGCCCCGTTCAGCACAAAAAGCAACAACAATAAAAACCACAACAAAAAAGTGCACATGTGGGCAAAGCTTAGCTACCATATTAGAAGAACAATTCTATGCATATTCCAGACATACGAGATCAGGATCGTAGATCAGGAGTACATATCCATATCGTAATTATATAAGGATGAAATATGACACAAATATACTATAATATTATCCACGTCATTCTTATAATTATACTTATATATTTATATGTCTATATTTTACTTGTTAATTAGTTCAGAAACTGATAACCCCCATCCCTGTCTGTTTCTAGTCTGATACTTTATATCATTTAATACTGTTTCTGATTGTTGGTGTTGTTTTTTTATTGTTGTTATTTTGTGTTGTATTTTTTTTTGCAATGAAATGTAGCAGAGACAATGGTCTGATATGTAGTGATCACATGGTTCACAAGTACTTTAATGGTGTAACAGTAAAGCCATATTACATTATCTGTAACTAAATATGTCTTTTTTATATAAAGTGGTATCGCATGCGCGAAATAAGTTCTCATTTACATGATATCGTTTTGAAAACGAGAGATTATTTGATGATGAGTATGCTTTTTTGCCGTATAGTGCAAGCACATTTATAGTGTGCAATTCACCTTTAACCTGATGAACCCAAAAGTGATAAGCCTTTCCCACAAGTATAGAGCCATACTCCATACTAAAGCCAGGTTCCATACTTGATACAGGCTCTACACTGTTTGTAGCCATTTTTGTTGTTGTTGTTTTTTATCCTTAAACGCCTTTATCTTTAAATTGACTACACTATTCTTTGACCTTGTAACCCCATAAATCCATTAAAGAAATTCAGCACAGTAAGGGTTAAATTAAATACCAGTTTCTCCGAATTAATCTCAATCGATAGTGAGAAAATTACCAGAAACGATTTAAATGAAAATTTGGCTTTGTAAATTATACATGAATAAATGTATAAAATGTTGACCACGGTGTCCGCACTCATATGTCCAGAAACATTTATTTATATTTTCTTCAATTTGTTCCTGATACTACTATTAAAATACAGAACAGAACAGGTTAATACAGTAGATATGATAAAGTCTCTTTATTAAAGTCCATTTTCTAGAGCCTCTTTCACATAATCACGTTGGGTGCTATCGTTACATGTCACAAACTGAACCCACGACTCAACAAGATCTTTGACTGGTATTTTTCCATCCACAGGGTGGTAGCTCTCAAAATACGTTTTCTCGAGTGTAATATCGTCATGATGAAACGCTTTCAGACCATTGATGAATTCCTCACACGTGATCATATTTTCGTGAAGTAAATCAAAACTACCAAACAAAGTTTTGTAACAAGTTTCCATCTTTTTTATAAATGCATCCTTATCAACCCTGTAGGATTGAACGTGAGCCTCAACAAATTCCTTCTCGGTGATTGGACCGTCTTTGCCTTGAAATACAGCAGCATCCCAGAATGCCTCCAGATCTTTTATCACTTTTTTCTTCTCCTCTGCGTTTTCTATATGATTCAGCTTGGCAAACAGTTGTCTGTAAAATATAAAGAAAAATAAATCGGGGTCAAAGACAGAAATGGCCGGGTTGCATTTATATACCAAATATCATCAGACTGTGATGTAATGAAAATTTTCTCCCATTCACCATTAATGTTGAAAATTTGTCAAAATTTAATTAAGTCGGTAAACAGGAAGTGGATAAGCGACAGACCTGAAATCTAATACATGTACCACTGTATGGGACTAAGTGTTAATTCTGTACACCAAATATCAATGTGATAGAAAACTGTTACGAAATTTTCCTACCATTCACCATTAATGTTGAAAATTTAACTAAGTCAGTAAACAGGACATTGGATGAGCGACAGACCTGAAATCTAATCCCACGGTATGGGACCATGTGTTAATGCTGTATAACAAATATCATGAGGCTGTGATAAGTAGTTGCTGAGAAAACTGTTACGAAATTTTCTTACCATTCATTATTAATGTTGAAAATTTAACTAAGTCGGTAAACAGGACGTTGGATGAGCGACAGACCTGAAATCTAATCCCACGGTATGGGACCATGACATGTGTTAATGCTGTATCCAAATACCAGAAATCAGCCACCACAGAGTATAAAAACCCGGTGGATGAAAAACCCTTGTGCAACAATTTATTCGCGGAGTACAAATAAAATAAAATGACCATGCCTATCTAGGCCTGAAAAATGCTACTAAGGGCTAAAAAAAAATTGATGTGTTTCTGGTGGCGAGGCGAAAAAGAGTAGGGTCGGTAGGTCGGACTTTTTTTTTTTTTTTTTTTTTTTTTTTTTAGTCAATCAACGATTGTAGATATGTCAGATACGGATTATATGTACTTTAAATCATATTCTACAGCATATAAAAGTACTTAAAATGTTAGACTACCAAACCTAGTCTTCAATATTTTATTTTGAAATAAATTTTACCAATGGCATGACTCGACTTTCGTTTTCATTTTTTTTATTCTTACCGAACAACTGGCTTCAATTTTAATATTATCACTCTTAACATGACCATGCACGTCCGAAATATGTTTTGAGCTGTTTTGCTGTGGTCTATTAATTTGATTTCCTGTTTTGCCAAACTATGATCGTGTTTTTAAAGAAAATCGCCAGCAGTGACACTTCGGCTGCTTGTTGTGCCGCCATATTAGCCGGTGCGCGTTAATACGTAATTGGAACCCGAATCGTCTGTGCCTCACATCGTCGACTCGCAATACTAAAACCCGTCTTCGGTACGGTCGGTACGGGCGCCATTTTTTTTTTTGTACATCGTTAAAAAAATTTGGGTCGGCGCTAAAAAATAGGGTCGGTCGGGCCACCGGAAACACAACATTTTTTTTTAGGCCTAAACAGTAAGCGAGTTTTTTTTAAAAGAAAGATGCAGATGATGTATAAAGTTTTTATAAAACTGTAAGTAGGCCTATAATCACTTGATATGTTTCCTTTATATTCGTCCCTTTAATAACTTAACTTCCGGTTAAACAATAAGTCGTCAAATTTGATTTTAAAGATTCAGCGTGTTTTTTTTGGTCAAAATACAAGGATAAACTAAACAAAGCCACCGCCGTGCGGGGGCAACGCTCGACGTTTTTACTTTTTTTAAAAGCAAACACTTAAATGGTTTAAACAAATCTTTAAAAAAGAAAGTTTTTTTTTTTTAGATTTTAATAGGTCTGTTTAGTCACACTTCTTGTTTTTTCTAATTATGAATCCTTTCCATAAAAAATAACAAAGTTAAGAAAATATCAGCATAATTTAATCATTTGACGGTCTACGTCATTTAGAGGTCAATGTCTTAACTTAATTATTCAACAGGTTTGTTTTGTTTTAAGTGTTATTTTGGCTATATATTAATCAAATCCGTACATAAAATTTATGATATTTAATAACAAAATATTACGACAAATTAACGGTCAATGTCATTTAAAGCTCAAGGGTAAAGTCAGTTTAACCTTTTAGAAGGACTTGTCGAAAAGGTTGTTTTGTTAAGTATGAACATAATTCATTCATTAATAATAACCAAGTTACTGCCATTTGAAGCAATAATCAGTGAAAATAATAATACATGAGACAAGGTCACTTAGTCAAATGGGTTGAAAATCCCAAAAGCCAGGTCAAAAGACCTGGATATTCATCTTATTATCATAAAATAATTGTATAATATCCCATTTAAAACTAGTTCTAGCGTGCTCAAATTTGGAAACGGAAGTAGGAAGAGCTTTAAACATTCAATCATTAAAAATTTACGAAGTAAAGACAAGCGAGGTTTAAAGCACGCGTAAAATGGCTGCGAATGTGGTCAGCTGTGTACTGCAATGACTGCATACATTTAGAAGAGCCAGATAAAATGCTAGCTTGACGAATCTCTGCTTAGATCTGCATAGTTATTGAAATTAAAGTGACAGCGTTACTACATGAGAATTTCATTAGGTCCGTACTAGTATAACTCGTTTTATACTGTGACAGGATGGGTACGCTTAAGTCAATGTCAAGAATCAGATGTATGTATGTATGTAGTATAAGTTTAATCCATATGTTAGGTAAGGCACACAAAGCAGCTTTCGCTGTCGAGCACTAATCCCGGATATGTCACCAATCATGCCCTAAAAGGTTTAATTTTGAAGCACAAAGCGGTGCATATTTTTCCCCTATGCAATTTCCACGGAGAATTAATTTTGAGCCATAAGTAGGTCACTGTACGGCGGTCAATGAGAACCTAAATGTACAGTAACATATGACAATAATGAAAGGAGATAGCCCTTAAAAGGGCTGTTGGTTCCAAGCAAAGGGCATTCACAAAGTATACTAAAAGCATCAGACACGTTACCAAATCTAACCAAAATAAAAAGGCACACAATCATGTGACCTCGCTTTTCTACATAGAAAGCGGCTATCAGCCAGAAGTATGTCCGCACAACACTATCCAAATCGTCTCGAAAGAAGAAATACAAAGCTTCAAAAGAAATATACGCATACATTTAAGTTTTTTTTCCAAAGCGAACTTGTTTCCTAGTTATACTAAAAGTAAACAATAGGATAGATTGAAAAATTCAGATGTTTTATAACAATGCAATGCCATGTTTAGCTCAAGACGTTTTGTCCAAATTTAAAACTGTTTCCCTTGAGGTTTTAGCAAAAATCTCAGTAAACTACAGACAGTTGCAAAGTCTATTATTTGTATAAGGAAATAAGAAATCATTGTCTTTCTATCTAAAGAAAATGTAAAAAAAATGTTTTGCAAGAAAGAAAGAAATTTAATGTAACATTCCGCAGTAAATCATTCGGCTTATTCAAAATCCGTCAAGACTCGGCTGCTTTGCATTTGAGATAATTTTACTATCCAGCAATTAAATATTGACTATGTTCTAGAGCTAATGAAGGTATTAAAATGAAATGTAAGACGAAAAAGAAGAAAAAAATATAATATACTCTTCTTCTCGTGCGTCCTCTTTGTAAACTTTGCCGTTGCCCCTTGAGTCAAACATTCCGAACCAGAGCTTCCACTTGTAAATCAAGTAATCATTTGCCATTTTACAAACAACAGTAGACCTGAAATGTATAAAAAGTGAGTAAAATGGTACAATCATCATGATTTACTGCATCACCGATGGCGTTCCGACGTGATATTTTTTGTACGGAACTTGTAAGGTGGGTTCTAGCGATGATAGTATGGGGCGTGTATAGCGCTATCCAACGGTCATTTTAAATGTGCGTTCAAACAATGTTATTAAATGTACGGTACGTGTACCGTGCGTTACAGATGATGATTTTAGATGTACAGTACGTGTTCCGTGCGTTCGAACGATGATATTAAATATACGGTACGTGTAACGTGCGTTCCGATGATGCTTTTTAATGAACAGTACGTGTACCGTGCGTTCCGATGATGTCACATACCCGTGCCGCTTTTACGAATCCATAAAAATGGTATTGCACGGCCGTGCATATATCTGACGTGACGTCATTTTCGTTTAATAAACATAGCGTCAAGACGCGCTAAATATTAGCGTTATATTATAGGTGCGTCAATGAAAAAACTGGTTCTTTTTTACTTCAAACGGTCTTTGGTTTCGGTATATTAAATTCGTGTTCGTTTAATGCTACATTTATTGAACTCGTTCAATAAAATAATATAATGCTCGCCAGATGATATAATTTTATTCAACTCGTTCAATAAATTCATTATTAAACTTACACTCATTCATTATCCTCTTGCATGTCAGACAGGATTATCTACCTTTTACACTGGTGCTAGAAAACACTGTCTTACACCACCATGCAGAACCTCGTTACCGCCGTAAACAGTCACCGTCGAGCTAGATATTCCGGTCTGTACCGGCAGCCAGTGTAAGATTCATATAGTACAGTACGTGTACCGTGCTCCGATGATTTTATTAAATGTACGGTACGTATGTCCTGAGTTCTGATGATGTTATTAAATGTGCGTAACGTGTACTCTGGGTTCTGATGATGTTATTAAATGTACGCTACGTGTACCCTGGGTTCTGATGATGTTATTAAATGTACGCTACATGTACCCTGGGTTCTGATGATGTTATTAAATGTACGCTACGTGTACCCTGGGTTCTGATGATGTTATTAAATGTACGCTACGTGTACCCTGGGTTCTGATGGTGTTATTAAATGTACGCTACATGTACCCTGGGTTCTGATGATGTTATTAAATGTACGCTACATGTACCCTGAGTTCTGATGATGTTATTAAATGTACGCTACATGTACCCTTGGTTCTGATGATGTTATTAAATGTGCGTAACGTGTACTCTGGTTCTGATGATTTTATTAAATGTACGCTACGTGTACCCTGGGTTCTCATGGTGTTATTAAATGTACGCTACGTGTACCCTGGGTTCTGATGGTGTTATTTAATGTACGCTACATGTACCCTGAGTTCTGATGATGTTATTAAATGTACGCTACGTGTACCGTGGGTTCTGATGATGTTATTAGATGTACGGTACGTATGTCCTGAGTTCTGATGATGTTATTAAATGTACGCTACGTGTACCGTGGGTTCTGATGATGTTATTAAATGTACGCTACGTGTACCGTGGGTTCTGATGATGTTATAAAATGTACGCTACGTGTACCCTGGGTTCTCATAGTGTTATTAAATGTACGCTACATGTACCCTGGGTTCTGATGATGTTATTAAATGTACGCTACATGTACCCTGAGTTCTGATGATGTTATTAAATGTACGCTACATGTACCCTGGGTTCTGATGATGTTATAAAATGTACGCTACGTGTACCCTGGGTTCTGATGATGTTATTAAATGTACGCTACGTGTACTCTGGGTTCTGATGATGTTATTAGATGTACGGTACGTATGTCCTGAGTTTCTGATGATGTTATTAAATGTACGCTACGTGTACCCGGGTTCTGATGATGTTATTAAATGTACGCTACATGTACCCTGGGTTCTGATGATGTTATTAAATGTACGCTACGTGTACCGTGGGTTCTGATGATGTTATTAGATGTACGGTACGTATGTCCTGAGTTCTGATGATGTTTTATTAAATGTACGCTAACGTGTACGCCGTGGTATCTAGCGTTCTGTTCATGATGATTTATAAAATGTACGCCTACGTGTACCCTGGTTCTCATGGTGTTATTAGATGTACGCTACATGTACCCTGGGTTCTGATGATGTTATTAAATGTACGCTACATGTACCCCTGAGTTCTGATGATGTTTTAAATGTACGCTACATGTACCCTGGGTTCTGATGATGTTATTAAATGTACGCTACGTGTACCGTGGGTTCTGATGATGTTATTAGATGTACGGTACGTATGTCCTGAGTTCTGATGATGTTATTAAATGTAACGCTACGTGTACCCTGGGTTCTGATGATTGTTATAAAATGTACGCTACGTGTACCCTGGGTTCTGATGGTGTTATTAAATGTACGCTACATGTACCCTGGGTTCTGATGATGTTATTAAATGTACGCTACATGTACCCTGAGTTCTGATGATGTTATTAAATGTACGCTACATGTACCCTGGGTTCTGATGAATGTTTATAAAATGTACGCTACGTGTACCCTGGGTTCTGATGATGTTATTAAATGTACGCTACGTGTACCCTGGGTTCTGATGATGTTATTAAATGTACGCTACGTGTACCCTGGGTTCTGATGGTGTTATTAAATGTACGCTACATGTACCCTGGGTTCTGATGATGTTATTAAATGTACGCTACATGTACCCTGAGTTCTGATGATGTTTTAAATGTACGCTACATGTACCCTGGGTTCTGATGATGTTGATTAAATGTACGCTACGTGTACCCTGGGTTCTGATGATGTTATTAGATGTACGGTACGTATGTCCTGAGTTCTGATGAATGTTATTAAATGTACCTACTACGTGTACCGTGGGTTCTGATGATGTTTTAAAAAATGTACCTTACGTGTACCCTGGGTTCTCATGGTGTTATTAAATGTACGCTACGTGTACCCTGGGTTCTGATGGTGTATTTTAATGTACGCTACATGTACCCTGAGTTCTGATGATGTTATTAAATGTACGCTAACGTGTACCGTGGGTTCTGATGATGTTTATTAGATGTACGGTACGTATGTCCTGAGTTCTGATGATGTTATTAAATGTACGCTACGTGTACCGTGGGTTCTTCATGGTGTTTATTAAATGTACGCTACGTGTACCCTGGGTTCTGATGATGTTATAAAATGTACGCTACGTGTACCCTGGGTTCTCATGGTGGTTATTAAATGTACGCTACGTGTACCCTGGGTTCTGATGGTGTTATTAATGTACGCTACGTGTACCCTGGGTTCTGATGATGTTATTAAATGTACGCTACGTGTACCCTGGGTTCTGATGATGTTATTAGATGTACGGTACGTATGTCCTGAGTTCTGATGATGTTATTTAAATGTACGCTACGTGTACCGTGGGTTCTGATGATGTTATAAAATGTACGCTACGTGTACCCTGGGTTCTCATGGGTGTTATCAAATGTACGCTACGTGTACCCTGGGTTCTGATGGTGTTATTAAATGTACGCTACGTGTACCCTTGGTTCTGATGATGTTATTAAATGTACGCTACGTGTACCTGGGTTCTGATGATGTTATTAGATGTACGGTACGTATGTCCTGAGTTCTGATGATGTTATTAAATGTACGCTACGTGTACCGTGGGTTCTGATGATGTTATAAAATGTACGCTACGTGTACCCTGGGTTCTGATGATGTTAATAAATGTACGCTACGTGTACTCTGGGATCTGATGATGTTATTAAATGTACGCTACGTGTACTCTGGGTTCTCATGGTGTTTTAAATGTACGCTACGTGTACCCTGGGTTCTGATGATGTTATTAAATGTACGCTACGTGTACCCTTGGTTCTGATGATGTTATCAAATGTACGCTACGTGTACCCTCCTATGGTTCTGATGATGTTATTAAATGTACGCTACGTGTACCCTTGGTTCTGATGATGTTATTAAATGTACGCTACGTGAACCCTGGGTTCTGATGATGTTATAAAATGTACGCCACGTGTACTCTGGGTTCTCATGGTGTTATTAAAATGTACGCTACGTGTACCCTGGGTTCTGATGATGTTATTGAAATGTACGCTACGTGTATCTGGGTTCTCATAGTGTTATTAAATGTACGCTACGTGTACCCTGGGTTCTGATGGTGTTATTAAATGTACGCTACGAGTACCCTGGGTTCTGATGATGTTATAAAATGTACGCCACGTGTACCTTGGGTTCTGATTATGTTATTAAATGTACGCTACGTGTATGATGGTATTAAATGTGCACTACGTGTACCCTGGGTTCTGATGATGTTATTAAATGTTCGCTTCGTGCACCCTGGGTTCTGATGATGTTATTAAATGTACGGTTACTACGTTACGCATATTTTTCGTTTAGACGATTGTTAAATGTGTGGGTTCCGATGATGTTACTAATGCATGAAATGTGTACCGTACGTTTCGACGATCAATATGAATTAAACGGCTAGATGCTACTTTAGTTAAATAGACTAGATAAATATGTCACTGGTTTTGTACTTAATAATTGCCAGTACATTAGATCTGTCAGGTCCGATGGTCAGGCTACGTGTTATACAGGGGTCGACACGGTATTAATAGCGGTGCGAAATAATCCCCGTTATTCGATAGCGCAGGTGAATTCATCGCGATATCGAGGCAGCGCCTTTGCGCGGACGGTGAGCGAAACGTAAAGTGGATTTGAGCATTGTATTTTTGCAAATATTTGTCTATCCACTCTTTGTAATTTGTGAAGAATTAAGCAGTGTGGTGCATGCTGGATAGAAATTATAATTGTGCATGATTGTCAAAATAAAATTACTAAATTTTATAGAATTGAGGAAGTTATTGAGGTTTTGTGCTGCAATTCAAGCCGTCACATGATATGCACATGCAAATACGAATAATTGTATAGTCGTTTTAAAACGAGATATTCGATTAGTTTAAGTCCCAACATGTTTATTTTGAAAAAACAAAGACGATATACAAAATAGTAAGTTTTTCATCTATATCTATCTGAAAATATATAAGGTATTTTCCAGTTTTCTCTTCCATTACTGTACGCCTAATATTTTGGTCGATAAACCAACTATACGCACAAATGTTGGTATGTTTTTTATGTAGCAACTTCCTCATTACAGTACATTCATAATTCAAATTTTGATGAAATATTCAGGTTTTGATTTTGTATGTTAATCATAATGACAACCACAGTGTCAATTAAACAACAGTGTGCAATTAATGTATTATAGCTATGCATATAGTTAATTTAAATATTCTTTTCTCACAAAGGTTAATCATTAAAATGAGTAAGTAATGCACAGAAATTTGCAAATTCTCATCAGTAATCAAAAGTCACGATATTATACGTTTTGTTTCTTCCATATTTTTTTTGGCAATGGAACTTGAAAATTTTAAAAAAAAAGATACGGTTTGAATTTCCTCTAATGGATTGGATGTTATATATTATATACTGAGCACATCATTGTACTTCAGATTTTGATGTTTGTCATTAGCCTTTCGCTTTAATATATAAGCTATAACTATTCATAACCGTGTAACAAAACAGATTTGTGTATTTGCTTATGAAAAGATTCATACTTTAGTGCATTTAAACATATCTGGCCAGTAGTTTTTAACTCTTTAAAAACTAGGCTTTTCTCTGCAACATTTAATGTATAGCATTCTCCCTCACGATTTTGTAAATATCCATTTCCACAGGGAGTAACTCTTATTGTTAAATGCAGTGTACCAAGAGATTTATACTGTGACATGGGCCAACAACAACTGTTTATCAGTATATAAATTCATGACAAGTATTTTAATTAATGTAAATAGAAAATATTATAAGAGAATTACAGTATCCTCGTTCGGCGAAATAAAAATAAATAGACCAAACGCGTTTGTGGAGTAACCAGTAAAATATACATCCTCAAAGATACTGTTTCCCTCGGCTAACATTGGGTCTAACAGTGTTTCTCCTTGTGGATGATATTGTTAACTGTAACCACAACCCATGTATTTCATTTAATACTACTATTCATAAGCGTGCGATCAAATCTAATATTGAATTAACCAAAAGCTTTGTTTTTCATTTGCAGCATGTGGTCAGCATCACACACACACACACCTATATGGCAGTAACTTTTGTTTGTTTAATCAATTTGTTTTAATTGCCTGCGAATTTACATACGTGTAATTGCCCGATGTGAGGCATCTAGCTAGCTTTCTAATACGAAAGCACTGAAGCTGTGGTGTCCATGACTTGACTGAATTTGAAAAATTGTAGTATTTGTGTTTTTTTCACCGACAGGTCACAATTCATGTGCACTACAAAATTAGCCTGTTAAAAAAACCTAACATTTTTTTTTAGAAAAGGTAATGTTACACCCTAAGTTTTAACCAACACCTGGTTCTCAGTTATACATAAAATCTGTAAGGAAAGAGAGATTTAGAATTTCCCGGAAGCGGGCAAATATATGGATAGATTATCTTTTACTACAAATCATAGGAAAACATGTACAGCAGATGGATATGATAAAAATCTCGAACCTTTAACAGCGTACAGTTATTCTAATCACACCAACATTCAGCGTACACTTAAATATTTTTAACCAGTAAGCTCGTCTATGTATATGGATCACAGAGGTACTTCTAATGCAATCAAGTAATGATTACTCTTATAGAACAGAGAAAAGAAATTAACTATATTAACTAACTGCATTATAGCGTTTATTCACCGATCTTAAATTAGTTTGCCGAGTCATTTCCTTCAGAATAACTTTTTTAGTTAGAATTGAAGCCTCTGTATATTTTGTACAGAAAAATGTCTCTGACGTGTTTACGACGGGTCAACTGACCGCCATTTAGGGCGTATCGCTGAAATCACCTCGCTTAAAGGCGTATCGAATGCTAATATGCGTTGACCCTCACTGATATATAACGCAGCTTTAATTAAAATATTAATTGCAGATTACATCATTTCTAGGGGGGGGGGGGGGGAGGGGCGAGGAATGCGACTAAATAAAAGATACACAAAAACGCATAAAAATACTAAAATGAATATATTTATCTTAATTTCCTTGTTCAAATGTAAATGTTGATATCTTAACCTAATCAGGTCAGCATTTCGCGTATGAACACCGTGAGTTTGGAGTTTATATAAACAACAATAGATAAACAGTGACATAAGAAGGGAAAGAATATATACACGTGACCTGTCATGTAAATACCACGCTATTGTTTTATTATTTTGAAATGATTAATATACATTGTCTGTATATTAACACACTTTCCTATATGTGTGTTTATAATTCATATGTCTTTAAAGGATGTCTGAATCGTAACAGAATGAAATAGAAAATCATAATTTTAATATAGTCAATATTTTCATTCTTATAAGCCAATAAATCTATATTGGCAGGATCAGGAATATTCACTCGTATTAAGTTGTTAACAGTATGTTTGATACACAGGCGAATAAAACGGTAAATATTAATTTGCCGGTATGGAAGCGTGAAAACGATACTTCAGCTAAAGTAAGAAACTCTTGGTCGTACTGTACATTGTATTCACGTTTCCTGATAACATGAATTTAAGTAGCTATTTCCTCAATTTTTAACAAAAGGTTTTATTCATTGATTCACATTAGCCATATTCGTTAAAAGATGCAAAGTATTACTTTATACCTCACAAAATTTATGCTCGAGAAGTTACTAAGACTGAGCATGTAACTAAAAGTTGTAAATAATCTTACTCCGTGTTTATACTGCTACTAATGGAATCCAAAAAACAACAACATATACACAGGCCTGTTACATAAGTTATAGCTGTCTATAATTAAAAATAGAAAAAAATTTTTTCTTTTGAATTTTTATGCCTATATAAAACATCATAAGGCTCATTTTGAAAATAACCGTCCTTAACGTGTGCGCAGGTATACTGAACTAAAACAATGCTGTATATGAACCGAAATACAAACTTATTTGAAGTTCAAGGACGTATGTTTACAATTCAGTAAGTATTTGTTTTGATTATGGACAGCGAGCGAATAGAGAAGAAGTTAGTAAATTTAGCAGACGATTTTTTAGTCGTTATTTCTTATCTTTTATTGATTAAGCGGTCATCGGAAGGTAACGTGGTGTTTACAAGTAGACCAGATCAATATATTGCACCTTTTAAGATGCTTTTGAAAGTCATCGTCCATCACATTTATCACGTGATCTTGTCGATATTTTATTAGCTAACTGCGATACATGTAGATTTAGCTTATGATGTTCTAACAAGCTAGTATCCAATTATAAATTCTTAACATTGAATTTTCTTAACGTTAAAAAGCAGCATCGCCCTACTATTCAGTGTTCATATATTTTAAAAAGGTTAAAAAAGTATTTATAAGAAATTATAATTGTGATGTTGAAAAAATAAAGTTATTTTAACATACAATCCAGAAAAATACTCAAAAAAGGTGTCCAATATATGCAAATAGCCCTTACTGACGGCGTTAGTAACGCAGTAGAAATATGGTGATAAATACTGTATCAATCAGTGTTAAATCACAACATAACATGTTAATTATCAACGTGAATCTTGATGCTTTTTACTTTTCTTAAAAGTTAAGTAAATAATTTGTCATCTGGAGGCGTTAGCTTTTAAGATAAATACTTGACAATGATCAAATAATTAAACAAAGACATTATTATTGTGTATAATAAAACACCTTTTATCGATCAATGGTGTGTGAGAGCTAAGGTCAAAAATCTCGATGTTTAGAAGTATGACCCAAAGCATTAACACAAAATTACATACAATTTGCAGAATCGTTTGATTGAGTTTGTACTGAGTGTTAATAAACAGCATCAACATCCGTTACGCTCGCCTAGCGGGATTGTTCCGCTCATCAGCCTTTCATGATTTCAAACACTTAAACTGCCGTGGAATCAATGATCCAGAAGTGAAGTACGTGACCGCATTTAACATGCACACGGCACTTGACACTTGATATTGCGAAGTTTAAATCTTTGGAGGAAGGGTTATCCCTTGGAAGCATTTAATCACAATAAAATTACATAGATATTACAGGCTCGGTTTGATTGACTCTGTAACGTACATGAGGAATAACAAGTAAAATGGTTTCCTGCGGGAAACATTTTTAATGATATAAAGATTTTTCATTTAACTATTTTCAACATTGTTTGGGGAAAAAATAAATAAACGTTTGTATCAGGAATATAGTTGAAAATAATCGATCAATAGTTCTAAGAAGGTCTATGGAGACTGGTGTATGGAAAGCCATGGCTGTCTGATATTGTTCTTTTTCAATTTATGTAACCATTTGGATAATATATGAGTTCACTTCGACTATATATGAATTGAAAACACCTTCTTATTTAACCGGAATCCATTATATTAATCCACAGTAACAATATATGAAACCATACTGTCAGTGTATGAAACCAAGTTAGCAATATATAAGTTGATTTTCTCAATATATGATTCCAATTCTTCAATATATCGAACCAAAGTAACAATGTATGGAACCAGATGTCCTTATATGAAACCGAATTATCAATATATTAATTCATTTTTACAATATATGAAACCATTTTATCAATGTATGAAACCAAAGTAGCAATATATAAGTTGGTTATACCAATTATTCAATATATGGAACCAAAGTAGCAATGTATGGAACCAGGTGTCCTTATATGAAACCAACTTATCAATATATTAATTCATTTTTACAATATATGAAACCATTTTATCAATGTATGGAACCAAAGAAGCAATATATGAGTTGGTTATTACAATATATGATACCAATAATTCAATATATGGAACCAAAGTAACAATGTATGGAACCAGGTGTCCTTATATGAAACCAAATTATCAATATATTAATTCATTTTTACAATATATGAAACAATTTTATCAATGTATGGAACCAAAGTAGCAATATATGAGTTGGTTATTACAATATATGATACCAATTCTTCAATATATGGAACCAAAGTAACAATGTATGGAACCAGGTGTCCTTATATGAAACCGAATTATCAATATATTTATTCATTTTTACAATATATAAAACCACTTTATCATTGTATGGAACCAAAGAAGCAATATATGAGTTGGTTATTACAATATATGATACCAATAATTCAATATATGGAACCAAAGTAACAATGTATCGAACCAGGTGTCCTTATATGAAACCAAATTATCAATATATTTATTCATTTTTACAATATATGAAACCATTTTATCAATTTATGGAGCCGAAGTATCAATATATAAGTTGATTATCACATTATATGATACCAGATCTTCAATATATGGATCCAAGTAAGTCATGTATGGAACCAGATGCCCTTATATGAAACCGAATTATTAATATATTAAATCAATTTTACAATATATGAAACCAGTTTATAAATATATGTAACCGAAGTATCAATATATAAGTTGATTTTCACATTATATGATACCAGTTCTTCAATATATGATACCAAAGTAGCAATATATTGAACCAAAATGTCATTATATCGACGGGACTTTTTTTTAAAGGCTGTATACTATCCTTGCACCGGTATTACAGTTTCGCGCCAATCTTCCTTGTTTAAAGAACAGCGTGCTTCACTGACTGCATACTGCACATTTTCTGAATAAGGAAATATTTGAATTTAACATCACATTCAATTAAAATGGGCTGGGCAGGCAAAACTTATCGTTATATATGTAGGAGTTGTATGTCATAATTTAAGCTATTAAGTCGTACTGACCATTATCAAAAACATATTTAAAAAATAAGTTCATCTCGACCTTTACCTTTGATCAAAAATAGGCATGGCCAGAAGGACACATCAAGGTTAATCTACTCACAAAGTTTAAAAAATAATCAGTCAAATAATAATTGATTTCATGAAAAAGAGGAAACCCAGTGACCTCGGCCTTTAAATTGTTGACTTGAAAATAGGCTATTTTGGTTCCATATAATGAAATAATAGATAATGTAACATCAACTTATATACTAGCTGCTACTTTGGTTCCATACATTAATAAAATGGTTTCATATATTGTAAAAATGACTTAATATATTGATAATTCGGTTTCATATAAGGGCAATTGGTTCCATATATGGGTTCTTTGGTACCATATATTGAAGAACTGGTATCATATAAAGTGATAATCAAGTCATATATTGCTACTTTGGTTCCATACATTGAAAAATTGGTTTCAGATATTGTAAAAATGAATTAATATATTGATAATTCGGTCTCATATAAAGACATCTGGTTCCATATATGGCTATTTTGGTACCATATATTGAAGAATTGGTATCATATAATGTAATAACCAACTCATATATTGCTACTTTGGTTCCATACATTGATAAATTGGTTTCATATATTGTAAAAATGAATTAATATATTGATAATTCGGTTTCATATAAAGACATCTGGTTCCATACATGGCTACTTTGGTAATATCTATTGAAGAATTGGAATCATATATTGAGAAAATCAACTTATATATTGCTAACTCGGTTTCATACAATGACGGTATGGTTTCATATATTGTAACTGTGGATTAATACAATGGATTCCGGTTAAATAAGAAGGTGTTTTCAATTCATATATAGTCGAAGTGAACTCATATATTATCCAAATGGTTACATAAATTGAAAAAGAACAATATCAGACAGCCATGGCTTTCCATACTGGTGACCGTTGAAGACCGGAGGCCGGAGAGAATGTCGAACATAAAACAATTACGGTATTTCTTTTTAAGAAAATGATTAAATACCATTGTATGAATAATTCCGTGCAAAATTTACACAAATTTACGCAGAAAATATCTCTATTTATTATGGCAGATGCCACTACGAATGTTTTAATTTTGTAGATTTTCACTATAAACAATTTATTGTTTGTAAAATTTGAGATAGATATTAAAGAAACATTGATCATTGGTAATATTTTTTTCAAACACATCATGCAAGATTTTCCACCTTAAACGGTAAAATATTTATAGAAAATTGGAAATATCACGTAATGGTTCTATGTTCTTAATCAGATGTAACTCGAGGTAAATCCGTAACGTACCGGCTAACGGTATTTAGCTAGGTTTTCGAAAAGGTCAATTAACCAATCATGTACGGTTAATAGATCACATGCTCCTCCATGTACCGAAAACAGGTCACGTGCTCCTCCATGCATCAAAAATTAAACGCGTACCAATACCCTGCGGGCTCCGGCCCGCAGGGAATGAAGATCATATCCTTCTGTTGAAAGCTTGATTACATTGTAAACTTTTACCTATGCCACTATTCTAAGGTAAGGTTGTGAAGATTGCGGCCTTACAGCCTAGCGGAAGACGTTAGCGGCCTTGCAGGTGAAGTTGGCATAGCAAACTAAACTTTAAAAGGTCTTAGTATTTTATATAAAAACTATGTATATGTGTATATGTAAATATGGCATACGCCTATTACAGAAACATATTCCCAGTTTCATTTTTAACTGTATATAGAATTTTATTTTGAAGGTTTATGAGGATAAATGAATAATTATGCGAAACATGAGATATTCAAAGACCTTTTCAGGAGTTTAGTCCTGTATGATTTTCCAGGTGAAAAAGTAGCACGGAAGCAAGGGAGAGAAGTGGCAAATGATTACGGTTTCTGCCTGTCTTACCCAGAGGTCGTTGGTTCGAGTCCCATTTGAAAACAGGTTAACGGAATTCCCAAAGAATGCCAAAAATGGCGAAATTGTAAGTTTTGCAGGCACGGATTGTCTGAGCCCGTTC